GAATTTCTTGTGAGTTGATGAGTTTCAGTTTTATCTAACTCTACTGATTATTGTTTTTTGATGGAAATACCGTCACGAAAATACTGAAAATGGTGAGAAGAATAAGGAAAAATAAGCCTCATAGAGAACAAAAAAATCCGGTGCTGCCCTTGATGGGTACCCCTTCAATCCATTACAGCGCCAAAACCGTGAGATTCGTTCTAATGTTTTCTTTTACAGATTGGCTTTCTCAGCCTGGTCCTGGCCGTGCTATTTATTCTACATGGATTTTCTCTAACGGCCGATATTAAGCCACACACGGTGGCTCCATCAAACTCTGAATTCGAAAGTTAGTAAAGAATGCTACTTTTTGAAAAATTTATTAATTTGTTGAGGCAATTTCATCTCAATCTCTTTCTATTACTGCAAAAAAAATTAAAAAATAGTTAATCGAAAACTGATCGGCCCTTTTATGGAGATGTCACATAAATCGGCCTGAAGTTCTTATTCAAATCCTATCACATGTATATCCATTGATGAAGGCGATCTTCTAAAACTCCCTTTTGAACTTGATGAAATGGAATGTGCTCACTGGTAAAAGGATTGGCTCCCTTTTATAGAATGCAAAAATGGCAATGCAAAAGGCGAAGATCGATGTAAACTGATGATTCAAGGTTTAATGCTGATTCATAAGAAAGCTGGCTTCTCAATGCATATCAAATTATGGATTTAAAATCATTTCGAGGAGTTATAAGAACTTTTTAATTTTTTTTAACCTTCAGACATCTAATAGGCGAGTAGATTATTTTTTCTTTTACAAAAATTAATCGCTAGAAAGTGAAAAGTTCAAAAATAAGCGTCGCAACGACTGTGATGCAAATAATCATACTTCAATACTGCAAATACTGCAAAGGCCAGGGTAAAAATGAAAACCGGCTGAAAAGTGCATCAGTTAGTACACCAATTTCAAAACCGGATAATTCTGCTCGTTGCCTCTTCGAAAGTCGAATTATTGTCCGAAATTGTAGTTCTTTGATTGAATCGAGAGTTCTTTGAGCTGGATTAGACATGGGTCGGTGAAGGGTTGGGCGAGTTTTGTGATTTGAAAAATGAAATGATAGGACCCCTAAGGTTCATAAATCTCATTCCTGGAAAGACTATTCAATCGACCTCTCTTCAGAATCGTAATGACCTGAATGCATCTTTACCCTGAATAATGGTCTACGAGTACGAGGGTCAAATCATTTACAAATCAGGGTTTGGTCCTCGCAGATGAGTCTACACGTGTGGTATCTGCACCATATGGCATTACACCACTTCCTTCCTAGTTTGTGTGATATAGTCCTTTTGATTCTGTAATTTTAGGTTTACATATGAGATCCTCCCCTTTTAGTTCCCCCTAGATACGCTCATTAGAATTTTTCATTACATTTTTCTGACTCGATGTTTACAAATCGCTGGCTCTACCAAGTATTTTCTTTTCTCCTAATAACTGAAAGAATTGCATGCAAAAATTACCTTCAGAATGCTTTGATGGCGATAAATCGGATCATCTCGTCGACAGCGACATCCGTGTAGTACTCATGGTAATAGATGCTTGGCGGATGTCGTTCTTATCTGACAGCGACTCCCCGATGACGTTTCTTCGCCAATCCATCGTCTCAGGACGAGCGATTGCCTTCACAGCGAATGCTCAGACACCTACAGTTACCATGCCTCGTATGAAGGTAATGCAGAATATTCCAAAAAACATTATAGTTTGATACGTTTATTCCTGAATACCCATTCAAAGTGGTCAAAAACAGAAATCTCAGTGGGATCTACGGCTGCCGTTTCGGTTTTTCATTCACGTTCACGAATTCTGTTACCTATTAAAAACATCTCCGAAGACATACATAATCGTCTCCGTTACGATAGTTATGCCTATTCCCTTTCCCCTCTACAGCTTATGACATCCAACTCGCTTCGTTTTCCAACCTGTCTTTGATACGTCCAGTAAAATTGCACCCGAACTACGGAAACATCGCCGGTGACATACAGTGCTGAGCTGATATACATATGTTTGTACCATATGATAAGTATTTGATTTCAAGGCATTGACGAGCGGAGTGGTACCGTCTCTTATAACTCTACTGGGGAATTTCTTTGCTTCGGAAAATACGGAAGACAGCTGGGTAACGTCTGCTTCATCAACTGGACGGAGGTGAGTTTTGTCGTTCAATGTGATTTGTGGGTAACTCCTAACGTATTGAATGGCACATATGATGGGCAGGGAGATTGGGAAGGTTTTAGAATAGATCAAGAATATTCTAGAAGTTCATTCCATCCAAATATAAAAAATACGTTATGGCGTATCCATCCGGCGGTACTGAAGATAAGAAAGCAAGGAATTCGATCCTCCTAGATGTCCCTTAGCTAAATTACTAGACGGGGATTTTCTAGTTTATGAAGTTTAGGTTCCTCTGTCACCCCAGCAGTTGTCGCACGACTGNTAATTTTTGTAATTAATTTTTTGCAATTTTTTAATTTTTGAACTTCCTTTTTCAGATTTCTGACTGATTTTTTCCAATGAAAATATAAGAAATCGGAAATTCTATCAAAATGACATGGTTCAGGATAGCGTTTTTTGGTGACGATACATGGATTCGGCTTTTTCCGAATGCTTTCGTTGAAGCTGAAGGAGTGACTTCATTCTTTGTCAATGATTATACTGAGGTAACCCTGGCTAGGTAGAATTGTTTGTTCCTTACTTTTTGGTCTGTACTTGATTTTAAACTTCCCCAAAATCTACTTAACATTGCAGATGTACTGAAATGAATAAATTTAGGTCGATAACAATGTCACTCGTCATTTAGATTCTGTTTTGAACAAACGAACTTGGGATGTACTGATCCTCCATTATCTCGGATTAGATCACATAGGTATGTCTTCATCTAGTACGGATTTAGTTTCCCTAGGTTGACTGGTTACAAGTTCTTTCTCTGCTGAAAGAGAAAATTATTTTAAAAAACTCGCTCAGCCGCTGTTTAAGGTCATTCTCTCGGTGGCGAATCACCCGAGCTCAAAAAGAAGCTTCGCGAAATGGACGGCATTGCCAGGCGTATATTCGACGTCGCTTCGGTATGTAGGTAGAAAAAATGAAATTTAGTTTGGGTAAAATCCTCATTGGGAGGAGGCCCCTATCTGCGTGGACCCTTGTCTGGTTGTAAGAGTACGTCCGTCAGATATACATGGTACAGATCTGTTTACTGCGTAGGTATGGGATCCTTGAGCGGGTCCAACTCGTTTTTTGATCCTGTCAATATCCCTGGCTCCAGATGCCTCTGTTCTAATTATACATGTACGAACAGCTAAGCATGTTGAGAGTAAAAATCTGGTAGGAACAGAAATAGGAAGCAACGATTAAGAAAATGAGTCATTTTTCTTCAAAGACCTTAAGAGGAACGAGAATTGTTCATACTTGATCTTGTTCTATTCGGTATTTATGTGGCTCTACCGCATGAGGTGAACACTCCTGTGACAAATTAATAAAATCAATCGATCACTGAAACGGAATAGTGTTCAGGCTCGATCCCCTCTGCTTTTGGTAGTGGTCGGTGATCACGGCATGACCAGTGGCGGATCTCATGGTGGAGGTAGTGATGCTGAAACGAAGGTCCCCATGTTGTTTCTGCATTCCAATGCGAAAATCATTCAGGGAGGAAATGTAAATGGTAAGTGGGTGAGGGTCCGATCCGAAAGTCAATTTTTGGAGAGCTATTAGGAGAATTTGGATATCCTGTTCTGTCCATTTAATAATGAATTTCAGGACTCATGACAGCAGAACAGGTTGACTTGGCGAGTACATTGCCGTTTTTTCTTCATGTACCCATTCCATCAGGCAGTATAGGTCTAAGTCTGATGCCACAATTCGCCTCTCAGTGGCAAATCAGCGATTCTACTCTGTTCTCTGCTGCTTTTCAATCAGCTGCTCACTTCTCCAGATTTACAGAAGGTAGGTTGGCTTTTCTTCGTTTCTGTTACCCTCCTTGAGGAGTTAAGCAGAGCAGTTCCCACCACCAGATCACTCTGGTTCATCTCTCCCTTTGTCTGATAGTTGTTACCAGCAAAGTCAAGGAGGGAGTTCGAGATAAGTATGAAGTACAATATGGGAGTCCGCCCAAGCACTACGGCCCCAGAATGGATCCCATTGGCTCTTTACTCGTTTAACTGTCGAAAAATCGGTAATCTTTCTTTTCAGGCTCTTCCTTAGTCGCCCTATCGGACGCTAATGGTGATGAACGCTGCCAAATAGCAAAGACGTTTGTGGCTCATGCCAGAGGAATGTTGGCCATGGAGGAGAGTAGAAAAGCTCAGCAGAAGGTCATCCAATCGCAGGAGCAAGCGCTACGGTGGCCAGTATTCGTCTCATTGGCATTTATTGTTCTTGTTAGTTTACTCTGGTCTTCTACCTCTTGTGTTACAAATCCCAATCTACCACAGTAAGTAGGAATAGAACCTGCGACCGTGTTCCCTTTACCCACTTTTTAATTACATTTTTTTCAAATCTAGCAAATCCTACTGGAGAAATTGTTTAGAGTTTCGTCTTATTCTCTGGTGCTTACCAGCCTTTCATTTCTGGAGACATCGAATCGTGGGTCACGGTGAGTTTTGAACTGTTTTGCGAAGGTCTAGGATTGGAGGTTACAGAAGCCAATTGTCAATCTCAAACTCAGTTTTTGTGGAAAAACCACTAACTATTACTCGTAGGACATTTGATATGGGCTACTGTAGAACAGCAGTCCAAGTAGACAGCATAGTATAACTAATAAACATGAAATTGAAAATGGTTTTGTGAGAAATGATTTTCTTCGCAATTTCAGAGCAGTTCTTCGGAATTACCCCTTTATTCCGTTTATCTCGTTTTCGCTCTATACCATCTCTCTTCCTATTCGACAAGTCTTATTGAGGAGGAGCACGATATCTGGTCAGTTTTCGGATTTTCGAATTCTCTCTTTCAAGGTGAAAGGACGATTCGAAATTTTTCTGCTTCCTGATGTCGATCCAAGTGGAAGAATTGGCGGCAACACGAGAGGGAACTTTTCCAAATATAAAAGTATCAAATAAAAATATTCGCTTGACAAATCCAATCTGAGGGGTGCGCCCCGCATTTGACTTCCAGTCAGAATAGTAGTGGCGTATTGAATGAGTATATGGCCTATACAGCGTGTTGCGTTGGCCAGCCAATGTACAGTTTAGTGCTTTTATCCTCTTAGACGAGGCTGGTACCAATTAACCGGCCCTGGCGGGATGAAAGTTTCAGTTGACCTAGGTGGGTATCGTTCTAGAATCCGATCTCTAGACCATGCATGTTTTATAGTGCGGCGCTTGCCACTACACCACCTTCGTTATTGAAATTTCATTAGAAAAACATAGACTGAAAAAATCGGTTTCTCTGTTCAAGGTACTATATTACGCCAACGGTAATTCTCTATCAGATATTTATCATCGCAGAATTTTCCACAAATCTGGAAGTCCTTTTGAAAATGGTATGTTCATAAGTTCTATCGCTGGAATATCTTTGTACTGAACTAACTCCACGACCAGTTTCATTAATTACAGTTTTACTCGAATTCGAGATTTCGGAATGGTTTTGTATTACTCTGTTTGCATCGTTGGGCGATGAGTTTCACGTCTCATACGAGAAGGAGATGGTCGATGAGACAAGGTGGGAAAATCATTGTTCGGAAAACTGCCAACAGCTTCATTCCCGATATCCTTTTCAGATCTACTCCCTCCTCCAATATTTCCTGAATTCCGATTCAACATACCAGTACTTGATTCCTTGACTACCGATCTCAATTTGACAGCTCTTGCAAAATGGTATTACTTATTTATTTATTTATTTCTTCACTCTATTTTTATACTTCCTCTTCTTTTATTTATTTACATTATTACTGTTTAGCTCTTACCACAACCACTTTTTAATTTTTTACGATGAATATTTTTTCGACCAACTCCATGGTCCATTAGAAAAGACTAGGAGAAGGTAAAGGTCGTGGCGCGTAAAATCTTCCTCATTTTCCTGACGTCGAAAGTATACCACTACAAATTTCATATTCATATGTTTCGGGGCATTTGGAAGATAATCTGTTACTATTACAGTAACCGACAGGTAACTGGTAATGAGTACTTAGAGTGCACGATTCTAGGATGCCATCTACAACAGCTATTGTATGCGTGGGTTATTTACTGATGCGTATCCGCCCGAAAAACTTCGTTTCCGGGGTCATGACATTCACATGTGTACTTTCCGGTGCCATATGCATGCAATCATATCTAAACGAAAGCAAAAGGTATAGTTTAGCTTTTCCTCGTGATTGATTTTTCTTTTGCAAAACCAATAAATCAATAATATTCCTTATTCTAATTTTATCGCATCGTGTTACCAAAAACAGTTCAATCTAGGCGGTGTGAAGATTTAAAAGGCGATAGCTACAGTAATCAGACCCTGACTAAAATGCTGTTCGACGAGGCAACTAGCTAGGGATCGCCGCGCGGCGCCATATAGCCTCCGAGAAAGTAAGAATAACAACAAGAATACCTCACCGAAAAGACAAATTCGTGTATAAAGTAGGCCTTTAGACTGTAGTGAAACTTGCGTAGTATCTTCGGCACCTACCATTTGGTCCCAAGCATGCTTGACTAGCCAGCTTTTCCTACAAAAGTAGTCTTGAACGTACTCCCAGCTTTTTCTCGCACCAAGTCTTTTCCTTTTCAGGTGGTTGATCACCTATTTTATAATTGGTGGAGTTCTCATTACTTTGCTGTCGTCTGTACCACTAGGTGCGATGTTATACTTGAGCTATCTGGTTCGACCAGAAGCACTTCCACTGTTGATAATTTCATTCGAAATGGGATTTTACGCAAGAAAGCTATCGTCCTCACCATATTTGTTTACATTCCTCTGTCAGACGGTATTCTTCTATGCGGTAGGTTCTTTGCTGACTTTTCTACACTCCTTAGAAGATTTTGCATTCGACTATTTACTTTACCAGTTCAGGGTCAATCAAGTAATATCTCATCTATTGATATTGCTGCTGGTTATAAAGGTCTTTCATCCTATAACATGCTATTGGTTGGCTTCCAAATTCTCGTCAATTTCTACGCTATGCCACTTTCCTTCTCTCTAGGCTACTTGTAAGTCAACTGTCAAAAATAATTTATGAAAGGGGGTTGCTTTACAAGCTGTCTGAAGGGCTCCAACAGGGTAGCTAATGAACTACTTGAGTTTTTGTAACCAGTCAGAGGTTCAGCCCCAGTTCTCTCTGTCCTGCAATAAAACCTTGAGACTTGGCGAATAACAAAACGAAGCCCTGGTAAATATGTTTTTGTGGCACTTGATATTTCTACACACTTCTAATTTCTTGATGCAACCACCGACGACTCCCTTTTATAAGAGCCATTTAGTTTGAAAAGGAGGTCCAAAGGGGATTGGAGATTCCAAGATCTGTAGGACGTACATGGGTAGAACTATGTAATATCCAAAACTAGTAAGTAGAAGTAGTCTTAATGATTTAATAAGTAGCTTGAATTTTCAGCAGCAACAAAACCGACTCAGTTGATACAGAAAGCGACCGCCATGGTATGCAAGTTCTCGCTTCAGTTTTACAATTGCGATCTCTGATGTTATTCTCAGCTATTAGCAGTATGATATGTCTTTCGGGTCATTTATTTACGTTCAGTGTTCTTGCTCCAAAAATGATTTGTGAAATTTTACATACCATGTTTAGTTTAGTTGTTACGAGTTTTCTATCACTTTTGTACATAACTATAAATAGAGCTAAGACTGGTAAGTGGTGGCCTCAGCACTTGAGGTTCTAGAAGGCCGAAAGGCCTAAATGAAGGTTATCAAAAACTTTTTTACACATCAGCATGAATTCGATACGCAACTTGATTCTGTGTCACTGGAAGCGAAAAATAATTTTTTATTTTTTCATACAACAGTATGAGTGCATCATTCAAAACAGTCATATATTAAGAACAGACAACAGTACAAACCAACAGCACATTTACAAAAGCCCTTGTCTTTTGAGATCTTCATACATTTTCCTTGTAACCACATTGCCAGCTGAATCTTCGAACTCCTCATCATTGTCAGGATTCCACCTTTGACGTTCCTATAAATAGTCCTTGTGACCGCTGAAACTGTCAAAACCAACGATCCTATTGACGGACTTAGAAACCCTAGCAAGAGTAGGATTTCGCAATTATAAGGTTACTAGTAGTTCTTTTAACAAGATGTGTATGAAGATACTCTCATAAAGATCCAATCACAGAATTATTGCCATGATGCACCCAATTCTGTGATTTTTACGGATAGCGAATTGACTGTAGTATTACAGCAGAATTTGAACGAGGAAACTCGAGAAGAGCTGATTCACTAATTCCGCTGAATCCAAAAAACATTACCTTATCTCCTTTAATTTTATTCCACAGGTCGAGTGCATCCTTGATTTGAGTAATGTTCGCGAAGTGAGCGGTGTTAGGAATACCAAGGCATCGCATTCCATGAGAATGGCGCCATTCCTAAGAGAAATAATCTATCAAACCTTTGTCAAGACAGACTCGTTATATAAAAACTATACTGATACAAAACTAAGGGAAAAGTACAATGACCTCTTACGAAAGAGCTACCGCTTTCCTTAACTGCTGCAAAATATGCTTGTAAGAAAAAGCCCGTGCCCAATTACTCATGTAAAACTTACATTGAAGTGCTTTTGAAAAGCTTTCGGCCCTTTGTACACTTGATTACCACATATTTCACAAGAATACGAGATATTCAATCCGTGTAATTTGTACAACCAATACGGAATCGGTTTCCCATCCCATCTGAAAACATGACAGGAGCCTTACAAAACGAATTCACAGCAGTAAAAAATAGCAATTTAAGCTGAAAAGAACGAAATATTCACCCAAGGGGAAGATTTTTGGGATTGTACGGTACGCCATCGTTTTCCTCCTCATCGCTTTCAACCTAGAAAACCAAAATATCAGCGGAATTACAATGAAAGTGATTTTAAAGATGTACCTGGGGCTCTTCGTCGTCGTCTTCGTTTTCTCCAACAGTTCGCGCCTGCTTCCTCTCCACGTTCTCACGCGTCGCATCCCTCTCTTCCATTAGAAGATTACCCATGCTGAACAAGAGAAGTGGGTCACAGCAAAAAGTTGGAGAAGTATTTTAAAATTTTCGCAATGTCTCGGAGAGTTCTATTCATGAAACTAACTCATAGACATTAAATAGAGCGCGGACTGGATTACTACAGCACGAAAACTGAAAGAGGAGACCAACGCCAAAGATCTACTCAACGTGAAATAATTGGGCAAGAGGCTGAAAATGTCGTGAACTGAAGAAAACTCCGCCGAAAAATGAGGAAGTTTCAATCTTAGGGCGAGAACGTGAAGAGTTATAAAAGAATCGGTCGGTACCGGTTATAGCTACTAACGCTACACCAAAATCTTCATTAAATGAATTTGGCAACCTACCGCAGACGAAATTGTTAACATGCTAGAAAATCGAATTTTCAACTGAAGAGAACTCGAAACAATAATTTGTAAAAGTAACGATGAAAAAACAATATGATCCTTACTAACCACTTAATGTGACCTTCCAGTTTAGCCAATGCAACAGTCCGAGCATGTTCCTTCGCTTCATCGGTTTTTTTCGCCAGAGCGTCCCTTCCTAAATCACCAGCTCTCAAGCCTTTCGATGCATAAAGACGCTCAGCACGTTCTTTCAATGTTCTAAAAATAGCAAATTCTCGATTTCCATCAGATGTCGTAAATGAAGAATATCCGGAAATGTAATAAACATAATCATTACCCTCCGCACTTGAGACCCAATGCCATCAGAGCAGCTTTCAGCCTGTCGAGACCCAAACTTTCCAATTCTAAAGGACTGCTATAAGCAGATACATCGATGGCCGCCTGAAGACACCACTTTTTTCAAAAAAAATTGAGCAAAAGTATATTAGAACAATAACCTCTTTCGGAGGTGGCTGCGATGGCCATCCCGGCAGGGTACCCTCTGCAAGTAGGCGATCGACCTCGGCATCACTCTTGAAAGACATTATCAAGAAACATGAAAAAAAATAGAAGAACCTGAGAACTGTGATTCACGATAAGAAAACTGAAAACTTACTTTAGCAAAGTCTTCCTTGAGACTGTGAAGGGGACGTGTACGCTCCATAAAGTAGACGAGGTATTCCTAAATTAAAACAGTTGTCTTGAGAAACTTCGCTGTCTGCTTCTTACAAAAAAAGCCAGAACACAAACAGGACCTTGCAGTTAAAAAATCAATGCCTACATTTCCGAAATCAATGAAAAACGGCGCAAGCAAACAATATCTCAACATCGTGAATCAACTTGAAGGATACCTTGAGGGTGTTTAGATACTCTTTATATGCTCCAGTTTTCTTGGTCGTATTCCTTGGAATATCTGTGAACCTATCGAACTGGGCGAGGTATGTTATATAATCAAGCCTCTGAAATAAGAACACATTTGGCAAAACGAGGAATGCACATTCCACGCTCAGAAGAACCGAGTCTAACTACAACCACGTTCAAAATTAGTGAACTGAAAGCTGTATAGACAAATAGTACTGTGTTCGTGAGTGCTCACCTTCACTGCTTTTAAATTGAGATATAAGGCATGAATCTCGTGCATGTCCAGAAACCTAAATAAAGAGCACCATGTGTGGCTGGTATTTTCAAAGAATCTTTTGAAGCAATGAAAATAGCGGCTTATAGACTACCTTCCATATGCCTCCTCGTCAGTAAATTGAACCATATCGTATTCTTCTCTCTCAGGATCTGCAATTTCTTCATGCATTTTCTGGAACTCCATGGAAAGCGGTTCGGCAAGCTGAACAAATTCTTTGTGTTCAATAGCAATAATTATTATATAAAGTTGATTGAAAAGGAAAGAGAAATCACACAATCGATCAATCTGGACCATACGTGCACAATATTCCGAAGCAAAACAGGAATGAGGGGACTCACCTCATCAGGATTCCTGCGATGCGCATCTTTCAGAAGCTTCAAACGAGCATAGAATTCTGCAAATTCATTTGGCCCAGCAATAGCATCCATCTCCCTTTTGCGAGCTCCATCATTGTCAGTGTACATACGTTCAAGGTTTTCGGTACAAGCATGATACCTCTGAAAACATTGTAGGTTAAGGAGTGCCCGTAATGTTTTACTAACCGATCAACCCACATCGACAAGCTGTTTTACGCGTTGCTGTGAATTGATATTGGCTTTGTGGGTTTTCTTGTCGCTCAAAATTTCCTTTACAATTGTTTCAATTGTCCGCTCGCGTTCCTCATGTAACTTCCTTTGAGTTTCCATAATTGAATCCATCTTTGATGCACTGAAGATGAATATTTAATTTAATGAAAGCAATCATACAAGACGATTTCACAACAAACAAATTTCCCATAGAACGCGATAATCTAGGCATTTTGAACGAATATGGGATCAAATAAGACATGGGAAGGAATGCTTAAGTTATAGCCTTAGAAGTGTTCAAATAATGAAAGACAGCGAACACATTCGAAGAAATGACAAAAACATAATCAAACACAATGTGAACAGAAGAGGAAAGAAATGTTCCGAAGGTGTTTCTTCAACTTCAAGCCAAAACATGCTGCGAGCGAACCTAAAGGAACGCATTGAAAGCTACCGTATCTCCGTCATTTTTGGAGCGTGAAAACCTGCTGCTGAATGGACTTTTGATACAGTTTCAAGGGAGAAATCAGTAAACGAGTATGTGGCCAACAAGTATTTGGCAGATGTTTCCACACCTATGCTGAGTAAATTCACACATCGGGTTAACTCGATGGAAAAACATTTACAAAGTAGCGTGACAAGGTTTTGTAACATGAAGAATGAAGTCAGGGGAGAAAGATTGAAAGGCACGGCTCTCATTCTATCATGTGAGCCAAGTAAGCCATACCGAGTCGAATCTTGCGAGAAATTTTAGTAAAGTGTTCAAAACGAAATGACTACTTTGCCTAAGTGCCCTTTCAAGGACGCAGCTGGACCAAAGAATACTTCCCGAACGCAAACGTCAAGAATTTCCTAATCAAGCTTCACTGAACCAAAATTATAAACCTTATTTCATATAATCAAAAGGTGGCTTGCAAATTGCCCAGCGTTACCCATACGTAAAATAGCATGTTCCTGTTCTGGGTGAACACAAAGTAAAATATTTGACGACAAGATGAAAAAGTTCTTGGTTGCGTTGCTGTGGAGGCGGATTACGTCATTCCTGTGCGCAACTTGCTTGGGAAGTCCTGTCTGCCAAGGATTTTCTTCGCTCTGTAATCTGTACTGCTCACCATTGTTAGCGGAGCAAATATTTTCTTCGGTAAAACTTCAGGACCCTTTTTGTTTTGTCAGTACACTGCTCCAACCAATAGCTACTTCTAGAATTCAAGGAATGCAGCAGTTCCAAGAGCTAGATTGGTAATTCAATAAATGTCCCAATTAGTATCTCCAAAAAAGAACGAGTTCTAATCATTTCCAAGAAAAAAGACTATGTTTCCAGGGTGATAGGTGTTAAACAAGTCTTTGAGTTTCTTCGACACTTTGCATCCTTTGTTTACCAATTTGTGTCATAACCTCATTGTCGCAGTCTTAAACATTCATTCTATAAACTTCTCCTGATCAGTTTATATAAAATTTACCAATTCGGGGTTACAGTAAAGCCTGAGGGCTGCTGATGTCTTCCTCCGGGACCGCTGCCTCGTGGGTGGGGTGGTTCTGCAGCAATCGAGGGAACGAGTTCTTTTGTGAGGTATGTTTCATCACTATTTCAGAATAAAAGAGACTGTAGATTTGTCCTTCGCTCATGATTAGTTCATCTCAGGTCGATGAAGATTATATTGGAGACAACTTCAATTTGACTGGGCTGAGCGACTACGTTCCAAAATTTCGTGAGGCACTAGACAAGATACTTGATTTAGAGCCTGGTAACGGCTTTTCATGAACTGCTTTGGACAAACTTTTTTGTTATGTAGGTAGAAATTTCGTTGATATCAATTATTCAACATTCAGACGACTCTGGAGACGATAGCGATGGTAATGCGTCCGAGGTGGAGAGGTTGGCTGAAAAACTTTATGGTTTGATTCACGCCAGGTTTATTTTAACGAACAGGTAACATTTATTCATGGCTGCTTTGTCACATATCGTATACCTACTAAGAGTTTTCAACTTTTAGAGGCCTATCGATGATGCTGCAGAAGTGGAAAGATGGAGATTTTGGAACGTGCCCTCGTGTTCTTTGCTACGAACACCCTCTTCTTCCTATGGGAACGGTTGATGTGCCAGGTCAAGATATGGTATGTCTATGATCACTTTGTAAATGTTAGATGTAATACTTATGGTATGTTTGAGCATATTTCAATAGTGAACTGTCATCGTATCGGCTGGAAAAAGTTTCCGCAGCCGGTTGGCAACCAGTCACTGTTTGCTCGATTGGAACATTTTCAGGTAAAAATGTACTGTACGTCATGCAGTGATATTTATTACCCGAAACACGCCCGTCATCAATCGATTGATGGAGCTTATTTCGGAACATCTTTCCCGGAGATGTTTCTGATGATGTATCCAGAGTATCGCCGACCAAAGCCACAGAAATTCGAACCGAGGTTGGCGTTGTAGTAGTGTGTCAGCGGCTTATGCGTTTATTTATTGAAGTTAGAGAGTATATCCATCATTTTGCGATAGGTATTGTCCTTCGACGTTCTGAGAGAGGGAAACAATAAATTCAAACAAACGTCTTTGCTTAAGTTACTTCACTATTGCTCACTTTTCAGGCTTTTTGGGTTCAAGATTCGTCAGCCACGCGAAGACGATCGGAAAGATGAACGCACCTAATTTTGACAACTCCCAAAAATTCCTTACGTGCTCACTTGTCACAGGTATTTTGCTAATGGCGCAAGTCGTGTGCCAAATTATTTAGGCATTTCTATGAACTTATAGTTCAGGTTAAGAGCTGTGATTATTAACGTTGTTGATGTATATATTTATTAGAAAGTCATGTGATCAATTCTGTCTCTTGACATGTGTTAAAAGTTATTTACTGAAAATTAACATGGTTGTATTGAGAATGCTCTTCTGAATCGCTATAAATTTTCAACCATAATACACCTGAATATGAAAGAATTGAGTGAAATATATTCACTTAGCGATCCTTTAAGCACGTATTGAACAAGTACACACTAAAGTTTCAATGATTCGCTGACGATCAGTTGAGAAATCGTCTTCTAACGGAAATAGTTAAATTGTTGTTGTTGCGATGGTGCCCAGGCTGAACCTTGTTGACGGTTCATCGCACGAGATGGTGCGAAACCAAGAGCTTTTTGGAGATTTTGTCGGATAGTCATTGTACATAAGATGTAGAGGAAGATAAATGAGCAATCACGCATGTCATCACCAACCTGAAAAAATGGTTTTATCATGCAGTACTTTACATTCCGTTCATTTTAGTTTTGAAATGTTGCTATGGAGCCATTTTGAGAATCACTCGACTTTGAAATGTTGCCTGGCGACGTTACAGACGGGTCATAACCAATTCACTAACGTCACTCACTAGATTTCTATGCGATAAACCCTGAAGAAAACCGATCGGCACGAACGGTAAACGAGCAACAACTCGTCCATCAAAGATTGAGTTGAATGTAGACAACAAAGCAGTAAATGCTAAACCAATTGCAAACATCGATTTCATTTTGAACATTGACATATCCCGATTTGTCGCCTGAAATGAAGCGCTGAAAGCTATGAACATCATGATAGACAATTGAACTAGGTAGGAAGCGAATGAAAAGCCTCACCAACCTTTAACCTCTCTTCATCTCGTTCGAGACGTTTTTTGGCGTTTTTATCTACGACCTCTCCAACTTCCTGTTTCTTCTTTTCTAGCCTTTTGGTTTTCCGTTCCATTTCCGACTAAAATTTCGAATTTAATACGATTATAATAGGTAAAAAATTGAACTTGGACTGACTTTCAATCGCTTATACTGCTCTGACCGGTAGACCAAAACGTAAGTAAGACCCTCTCCCGCCAAGGCAGTGCAGAAGGCGATTGCGATGATAAGTAAGCAGTCGGATAACATCGAAAATGCCTATCTGTCAAAATAATTATAGAAACGTCTTGAATGGAAAGAGAATTGTGGAGAAAGAATTGTAATTTAACAACGATAGAGAAGGTACTGATATCGAAAAATATCGATCATAAAAAAATTCAAACAAATTTCGGGAAATAATTTACTATCAGAGTGCACGTTTTACGAAACAAGATTGACCAGAAAATCCAACAAGCGATAATAACAACGAAAAACAGGAACAGTAGGTAGATCAACAATAATTAAAGGAAGTACTCGATATTCATCTCTATCGCACAACACGGTAAGGTTAGACCAAAGGCAGTAATTACTTCTGGATGCAAAACACCTGAAAACAGAAATTTCAATGCGAGATGACCAGTATACAGTACAGGATATCAAAAAGTAGAAAAATAAATCAAATTTTCACCTAAAACTCCCAAAGTTACATTTCCTGGGGCAATTATAGAAGCGCAGCGTCCAGGAAAGAAAGTAGGGTCTAAAAATATTTCTTGGCGACAGAAACATTCAGAATAAGGGTGAAGAGAAGGTTTATTAAAAGCTTTAGTAAAATGACTCACTATCACATGCTCTAATATAGTATCCATTTTCTTTTGAGGGGTTCAAATCCAACAACCGCATCACTCGATCAAGGAACCCATGAACTATTTCAAATCCTGCAGTCTTATTGTAGTAGACAGCCGCTAATCGACGTTCATTTCGAGCTCCAACATCTGAAACCACTCAAAATACACAATGGAGCCACTTAATCATACATTTAATTAGATTCCCTCCCTATCGTCAATGTGAGCAAAGTGGAAATAAGGAGAAAGGTTTCTGAGACTTGAAGAAAAAAGTGATATACAAGAAAGCATAATTAAGAATAGGCCTTGAACCAACAAATGCTGCAAGGCAAAATACCTGAAGAGGGGTCCTTCATGATTACATCCTGTAGCTCGAAAAGCTTCAGAGGGAGCGGCATGTCACGATTTGAGGAAAGGGTTTTCATGAGACCTGGTAGTAGGGACGTCCGTGCAACCTGCGAAATAATAGGAATGAGTAAGCAGTATAGTGGTGATAGTAGTGGTAAGCACACTAGGTTTATCACACACTGCCCGAGAACCTGGAATTCTTGCGTTTTCGGGTTGGAGATGTGCACAGCATTCTCAAGTGCTTTGTTGTCCCGTAAACGTGATGCAATATCCTCTCTAGAGCACAGAGCAAAGTTGAGGGCTTCCGTCCAACCGGCAGCCGCTATTTCTCCTCGAAGAAGGTCCGACAACTTGTTCAAAGGGAATACCTCGGCCACAGTGTTCGACTAAACTGATTTTTTTTACGAGGAGCGTAACGCTTTCAGGATCTAATTTCTTACCTCAGGAAGCCGACGAACCAAGTTGTTGAAACCATAGGCCACACCAACATCCTCTGCAATATCGCATTCGTGAAGAATGTCGTGCCTGGTTGGAGGAATGGTCACCTAAATTCGAAAAGAAAACCCTTACAGAATGCTTACTACGCGACTCAGAAAGAGCAACTCAGACCTTTAACGTGTTTTCAGTCAAGACTTTAGCTTTCAGCGACATTTTAATGAGCAAATCAGCCATTATTTGAGCGTCCAGTTGGAATCCTATCTTTGTATTGATTTCGGAAACGCGCACCATAATTTCCCGACAGGCAAGCACCTTAGTAAGAGGTCAAAATAATCGCTATCGAATGCTAACTTGTTTGTGCTAATGTATGAGATAGGAATTAAGGTGAACCTACGGGGTATTCTTCCTTTCGACCACTCTCCTCGTACACCACTTCCACTGGCTCTACTCTGAATTTCAATTTTCCGAGTGAATAAGGCATCAAAATTGAATGATTGGGAAACACATGGAGTAACAATTGGATTTTGTGCAAATTCAGCGGTTTGACCATGAACTCACGTGAATGGTTCTTTACAGTACTGACTGAACATAGTGACGACAGTGTCAAGAACAACAGTTGCCTGCAAGAATGCCGTTTCAAAAGGAGAAAGGACACTCAAGACGAAAAAAATCTACAAGACCTTCTGCAAATCCGTCGCAGTGGCTTCTATGAAAATGTTTTTCGTTTGAAGAGTAATTTTTGAATGATCTCCTGTAATAAGCAAGTTTCATACGGAGTTGAAAAAAAACTTCCGAATATTAAAGGTAGCAGTTGAATAACAATGGGCACACCGTTTATTATGGGAGGCATCGAACACACTATACCATTCGCATCATAAATGACCGGGTATCGCTCCTTATCACGAATTATCGGCAGATAAGGCTTTAGGTGACTATCAGTCTAAATGAATGAATAATCGACAAGAAAGGACATTCAAACTGAAGAAAACGTACCGAGTAAAACTCCATCAACTCGACGGCCGTGAACTCCTTAGTTTGATTGAGTGGGATAAACTTGATGTCATTTGGAAGGTCAGCAGTGTATTTGAAGGGACCTAAATAGTGTTATCTCCGGGTTTATGACTTCCAGAAGGGAAAGTACCATGGAAAGAAGCTTCGAGCAATATAGAACAAAAATCTCGACGATTACGAACTAACTTATCGAAGAATACTCAAACTTCTCATCTTCCGAAATCGTCACATTGCACAAAAACAACCCAGCTCGCCATACATCGATGGAATTTGCAGGAACTCATTTATATGCATTGAATACAACGCAGTCCTAACTCGCCCCCTGCTGCACTCGCATAATTTGGCAAATAAAAGTGCACTGCGAGCTGAGCGGATGTAAGCAATTACTATCTCTACTACAAGAGACGAGGGAAGCAACGGTCTGATTTATTATGACACCAAGATTTTCAGGGAAAGCTTGTTGTCCTGATTTCAATTACCAGTGGTATGCAGCTTTTCAGGCGCACAAAAAAATTATGTGAATCAACAGATTAATTTTGCTACTAAAATGTTGAACGCATCTCAACACAAGTGGAAAGCATCATACCAGAAATAGTGTCCAAATCGTGAGTGCCGATAGCCACCAGGGTTCGTTTGCGGCAAATATTCTGATGAAGTTTATCCTTAAAATGCAATTCAATTCACAACATTATCATTGATTCGATGGTCTACAAAAAAAGCGCAAGACCTGTAAGTCAATGAAGGAAGCGTAGTTATCTGCGTCGAACGAAACATTACGAAGAATAGCGCCGACCACGAAAGGACGCACTGCAGCTGTCTTGAAATTGAAGAAAATAAGCAACACTAATGGGTTAGTTCTAACTCTAACAAGGGTGCTAATAAAAACAAAACCATTCCATTTGTCTCTAAGACTAGTCTTGAAATTTTATTTCGGTATGACTGCCTAATTTCTTATGTGGTTGGGAAAGTTTTGTGATGGCCCTCGACTTCTATGAAATTCGTACTTTGTAACGATACAATAGCCTCGACGCATTACTAGAAAATGCCAAAGTTTCCATTATTCAGTGTTCGTAAGAAATTGAAAATGCCTACTTCTTTAGTAACGACAATCTGCTGAAGAGGCCCGTTTGGTCGTTTCAACCTGTAGTTCGGGCTTTTTATCCTGAAAAGTTAGCGGTAGGGGACTTCAGGATTCAAATTATCTGTCAAACATCACTAATCAGAAAATCTCACACCCTTAAATTCATAATAATAACTACGTTTCTATATAAGAGTACATACGAAAAAAGGTTGGAATTCAATGAGTGGCACTATCAGAGATGAATACAATATTTCTGTCAAAAGGTCATTAAATAATGTTCATCTTGAAAAACTTACTCGTTTTTGAAAACTCGCAAGGCTCTAGTCAGCCCTTCTACGCATAACAAGTCATATCTGTTCGCTGGTATGTCGACTTTGTATACCTCCGAATCACAAAGCTCATCACCAGCAGCCGCCTCACCTCGTTCTTTCTCTACTGCAGCCTTTTCGGACGTCTAGACAATACTAATTAGCAACAATTCCGCTATGAGTATATACTACTCACCACTTCATCCAGTTCAAGTCCATATTCAAAGCAAAGCTCGTCGAATTCCTTCTCACCTAAATCATTTAGAAAATTAGCCAGAGGATAAAAAAATTGAAAAAA